TAAGGCAGAAGGCAAGAGGACAGGGTGGAGAAGACAGATGTTTTTAGGTCAGAACTCGATTTGATCCCAGTTTCACAAGTCCCTGCGGTTACAACTGAGACAGGGCAACCAGAGCCACATCTCAGGGAGGGTGTCTGGGTTTAGGCCAGAAAACAACAAGATAAAACATGCATACACCCTACTGCAATGAGCACATAGTTCCTGTTAAGTTGCTTTCCAGGCAAAACTGGCTTAAGCAGATTTGTTATGTGCAGTCCACTGTCCTTTGACCTTTATATGATTTTCCTCTAGAGGCAGCAGAGAGTCTTCAGCAGGAACAGAAAATGGAAGCCACAAAGACTACACATGCACACCATCCCATAATATGTGACATCTCTTGCCTCAGGGAACTCTGGTGGCTCAGCGTTAAGGAGTTGCCCTGCCAACCCAAAGGTATCCAATTCCAATTCACCAACTGCTCTGCAAGAGAAAAACGGGCATTCTCCTTCTGTGTGAGTTGTGTGGCCTCTGAAAACCTGTGAGACAATCAACTATGGGTCCGTTCTGACTTTCAAGTGCACAACAGTTGACCTAGAAGCCTCTGCAATAAAGTTCTCTTTGAAAAGCTAGCTGTGTGTGCACTTAATTATCATAATTCTTCCTATATGGTCCATTCTCCAGATATAAACATGAAAACTCATGTCACCCAAATCTTTGTTAAGACCAAACAATTCTTCTGTACCGTGAACCTTGGGCTTGTGATTCTTCATCCTTCCATGCCTCCCTTTGCAAATCAGTTTTAGTTTGCAAAGTATTTTCCTTAATACACTTTTTTCCTGTGCTTTCATAGAAAAGCCTGGATTCCTGTTTTACTATTACTTAACAGGAAGAAGAAACCAAATTTAAGATGCACTGAAAACCTTTTTCTGGCAACAATATTTAAAGGGTAATATGAATATTCAAAGAGTAGTATGAAAACCTTCAAGGACTACAGCCTCCAATATGGATTGAGGCTCAATGTCAAGAAGACAAAG